TAATGCTCTGGCGCAATAGCAGAAAAATGCAATGCTGTAGAAATGCATTTACTTAAGTGAAAGCAAAATGCCTGCTGTAAATTTATTATTTTTTACTTGGGGAGGCAGAACAATCAGTTCTGCCTGTCCTTGCCCTTATTTTCCAAACCACATTGACATTTCATGCATTTTGTCTTAATGTGAAAAGGACATCAGTTTTTGTCATTAGGAAACAATATTTTTACATTCTGATTAATTGACCTTTAAGGTAAAACATGGTGTCCATTGAACACTGTGTCCAATTTCTATGAAAACTGGCATGGATATGAATTTACAGACATGTAATTTTTATATTTTTTTGCCAGAAGTATATTTTTCCCCCAGGACTCTTGGGAATTATGTAAATTCAGTAAAAAGTGGTTTCAGTTTTGAAGTGTTGGACTGACAGTTTTGAATATTATTACTCACAAACTTGGGATTCAGAACAAATTGGAGGGTCTATAGCCCAAATAGAAACCAATAAGGACATCGTATGCTTTTTTCCCTTTATCAACAGTGTTAGATCCAAACGATCCAAACATGTCATCATGTGTTGTCTGCATTTAAGAATCTGTCTGATCTCCTATATTTTTTACCTTTTAACAGTTTGGCAGCATCAGATATCAAGTATTGGTGACTAATATTAACAGAATGACATCACTCTGTCTGAATTCCTTTCAGGTATCCCCATTTCACATTTTGATGAGGTTACATTTTTAAGCCTTTGAAACTGTTACTCTAAACAAAACCTACTTCTCGCCTGTTAGTGCTCATTCCTACTCTCTTATCTCACTGTACTTTTTTTTTTACTTTTTTCAACAAGACATTTCATGCAGTGGTTTCAACTGGAATTTTCTTTGCTCTTATCTTTACAATTACTTGCTTTTCTGTCATAGACAGCTCTCTAGTCTTCATCTTTGTTCATGCCTTCTAACTCAAGAGGCAGATGCCTTTATATGACATTGTCGGACTTGAAGTTAGACAACACAGTTTTTCATTGAATTAATTTGCCGAAATCTGAATTTTGTTTTATTTATTATTGCATGTTTACTTCATAGATGTAAAATTGAATTGTCTGGTATTTTGTGGGTTTGATGACCATCTGTGTGTGTAAAATAAAAAACAGTGAATTGTACTGCAGTATATTGCCCCCATGTCCTGCCTCTGGAATTTTATCTAGTCAAGTATCTGCTTTTATCAGCACTTACAATTGATAACTTTACAGCAGCCAGCTTAATATTACAACTTAGTACCATTGTCTATAATGTCAGCTGCTTGTGTTTTGTGTTTCAACTTCTGTTATGTCAGGCTTAAGTCACTTATTTTGCTTTTATTTTTAGTGTTGCACTAGTAGCTCTAAACGGGTGAATCAAACATGAAAACAAAGTCATTTTATGGTCAGTATTGACTCCAAAGGCTAATTCGCTTCCCAGAGCAGGCAGCTTTCATCATCCTTTCATCTGTGGTCTCCACTCTTCAGATCAATAAGACAGGTTGCTCTGCACAGAGTTTAATGGACTCTGTTAAAGTGTGTGTGTCAGAAGAATCAAAATAATAGGACTTTTTGTTCATTTTTATTCAGCTTTATTGAAGACAGTCAAGTATAATGTCTCTTAAATTTATCTTAATGTTCAAAGATAAATCGATGCCTGAGTTTTAGAGCTTTGGTCTGTATTAATTTCTTCTTCTCTGATAGCTTAAAGTTTAATTGAAAATTGTAAATTCTTACTACAATAAAAATGATCTGGAACAAGAACAATCTTTAAAATATTTATCACTGCCCATCTCAGAAGAAGCTTTGTAGATTGCAATGATACAGAATATATTCATTTTAAATAATGGAAATAATTATTATTTTGTAAAAGAAAAGGACCATTGGAAACTCTTTATATTTATCTGTGTGTCCAGTTGTGTTCTTCCTAGATTTCTTCACCAAGAATGAAGTTTGATGCTTTTAACCCAATTGTATTTGTATTTGAAAAGAACTGAACCAGAAAAGGACCTTACTGACAAAGCAGATTATTATCCTTGGCCCAGATTAGACATTAGGCCATATCACTTAGCTGACAGGTACTGGGAATCTCCAAACTGACAGTGCAGTTTTGCCAGAACAAAACCAAGGTAAATTATATCCTAGTTACAACCATTCAAAAATTCTTAAGAAAAGCAGAATGGTATACTAAACTGAAATATCCAACATATCATGGGGCAGATGCAGTGTCTGAGGGTGACATTTATAAAAGGAAATCAGAAGGGGGAGGGGGGGGAGGTGGATACTTCAGCTTTGTTCTCAGTAATTGTTGCTAATTTTAATATTTTTTAGCGTATTGCAAGCATAGTACCATAAGACAAAAAAATGCTGTTTGAAATATTGCATTTTAACTAGTTTTAGCTAATGTTATGTTCTTTCATTTGACACTTTGCTCACAACATTTCAGTTAATATACAGTAGATTCCAGTGGCTCCTCTGGTCATGGAAGAATACTGTATCTTTTGTTCCAGCCATTTTCTGTGAATCAGGAGCAAATTAATTTCAGTTTCTATTTAGGGACACATCTGTCAATTTTGCTTTTACCTGTTAAAAGGTCAAATGTGATTTGTAATTAATACCAATTTCTGCGTTTCTGAGAACTGCCAATTGGACCAGTGCAGAAGAAAAAAAATCATCACAGGAGTCTTGTACATTGTCATTTCCACCTATTTCAGTTAATCAACAATTGATCAACTAGTAAGAGCTGTTCAGTCAGAAATAATATCATTTGAGTTGATGAGAGGTTGTGTAATGTTCTGTATGCTAAAGTTGATCAAAATAGTACCGTTGAAGTAGGGTATTTTTATTAGTCAAGACTAACTGAAGAAATTATGAGAATAAAAATCTAAACAAGCAAGGAGATCAATAAAGTTATCATTTAGCACTAAATTTTGAGCTGTGCTGGAATGAAGTCCAACAATGTTCCTCCAAGACCAAGGTTAGGAGCCACTGATATTTTCAACTGATTATTAAAGAACAACGTAGGTGAAATGTAAAATGTAAAACAATGAGATAGGTGTGTTTGCTTTGGTAATAAACCATTGTTAAATTACTGAAAACTGAACAGGACTTTATTTGGTGTCTAGATGACTTCTCTTTGATCTGAGCTGTCTCACACATGCTTGATACTATATATAGTTGCGTACAAAAGTTGAGGCATCCCTGGTTAAATTGTTTAATCAAATCTCTAACTGAGTGACACAACCTCTACATGGTACAAAGTTACACCTAACATTTTTCTGCAAATTATAATGTAAAATTACAATTAATTACCATTTCTAAAGTTTGGGAATCCTTTCATTTGATTCATTTCAGCTTTTTAAAAATTTTCAAAGGCCCCAAAACTTGATTGACTCATTAGGCCTTAAATTAAGTCAGGTGAAGGCAATTCCAGGGTTAAGCAAGTACTCTGACCAGACC